GCTCATAGAGCTTTAAGAAGTAATTTATGGGCTGGGCGCGGTGGCTCAAGCCTGTAATCCCAGCACTTTGGGAGGCTGAGGTGGGTGGATCACGAGGTCAAGAGATCGAGACCATCCTGGTCAACATGGTGAAACCCTGTCTCTACTAAAAATACAAAAAAAAAAATTAGCTGGGCATGGTGGCACGTGCCTGTAATCCCAGCTACTCAGGAGGCTGAGGCAGGAGAATTGCCTGAGGCGGAGGTTGCAGTGAGCCGAGATTGCGCCATTGCGCCATTGCACTCCAGCCTGGGTAACAAGAGCGAAACTCCGTCTCAAAAAAAAAAAAAAAGAAGTAGTAATTTATGGGGCCGGCCGTGCTGGCTCATGCTTGTAATCTCAGAACTTTGGGAGGCTGAGGTGGGCAGATCACGTGAGGTCAGGAGTTCGAGACCACACGGGCCAATACGGTGAAACCCCATCTCTACTAAACATACAAAAATTATGTGGGTGGTAGTGGTGCGTGCCTGTAATCCCAGCTACTTGGGAGGCTAAGACAGAAGAATCACTTGAACCTGGGAGGCGGAGGTTGCAGTGATCCAAGATTGTGCCACTGTACTCCAGTCTGGGCAACAGAGCAAGACTCCATCTCAAAACAAACAAACAAAAGGTAGTTTCCGTAAAGTGCTTAGAAAAAGTGCCTAGTTCCCAGTATATGCTGGGAAAAAAAAAAAAGTTACCTATTGCTATTACTAACTGTTGATACAATAGACCAGGCTGGGTGCAGTGGCTCATGCTTTTAATACCAGCATTTTGGGAGGCCAAGGCAGGAGAATTGCTTGAGCTCCAGAGTTTGAGACCAGCCTGGGCAACATAGTAAGACTTCGTCTCTACTAAAAATACAAAGAGTTGCCAGTCACAGTGGTGTTCACCTGTAGTTCAAGCTACTCCGGAAGCTGAAGTGGAGGATAGCTTGTGTCCAGGAGATCGAGGCTGCAGTGAGCTATGATGATGCCACTGAATTTCAGCCTGAGTGACAGAGCGAGACCCTGTCTCAAAATGTAAGCAATACAAAAAACAGAACAGATAACCTTCCTACTAAATAAGCCTGGAAGTGCTTAGAAAAAAATATAATAGAGCCAGGCATGATGGCTCACGCCTGTAATCCCAGCACTTTGGGAGGCTGAGGTGGGTGTATCACTTGAGGTCAGAAGTTCAAGCCCAGCCTGGCCAACATAGTGAAACCCCATCTTTAAAAAAAAAAAAGAAAACAAAAAAGAAAAATATCTATATAATAAGCATCCTTTTAGACTGTGCTAGTTATCAAGGTATTGTCTCTCAGCTCCACATCTATCCTGTTATGCTCCACTTTGTGATACTGGGGGCTGGACTCCACTAAACTCCATTTCACTGGCTCCCTGTCAACAGGGGGTGCTAAAGGGAAAACAGAAGACAAGAGGAGGCTACAAGGGACTTCCTCCTTCCTGTAGCCTGGTGTTTGTTGACAACAGAAGTTGGTTCTTCCCAGTTCCTTTCTAAACTCCCAAAACCAGCCTTCTGCCCCTCAGAGGCATTAGCATCAGCTAAATAAGGCTCAACTGAAGCTAGCTCCTCCAGGTTCCTCCTGTGAGGGCTTGAGAAACCAGCAGCACCAGGCAACATCTTCTCCCCAGAGAATCTGGGCGCAGCTCCTCCAGATCCCTCCAGATTTCTAGGTTCTGGTAACCCCAACATTCCTCCCTTTGTTTTTCAGTCCTGCATGAGAAAACTCCTTTATGCAGTTATTATATCAAAGTTACTTTAATATTCCTTTTTGCTTTTTTAGCCCTCCATCTAGAGTTGAAACCAGTTTCCTTTATGGAGTTTACTGTGTGGTTTCTGTTTTGCTGATTGGATCTGAACTGACATATAGATCAACTGAGCTCACAAGAAAGTAAGGGAAATCCCCAGGAACCAGAAACAAAGAATTAGTGAGCAGGATAAGCGAGCTGATGATGTGCTGTCCTAGCTGTATAAAGAATCTTTAACACCCTCGGCTGGGCGCAGTGGCTCACGCCTATAATCCCAGCACTTTGGGAGACCGAGGTGGGTGGACCACGAGGTTAAGAGATCGAGACCATCCTGGTCAACAAGGTGAAACCCCGCCTCTACTAAAAATACAAAAATTATCTGGGCATGGTGGTGCGCGCCTGTAGTCCCAGCTACTCGGGAGGCTGAGGCAGGAGAATTGCTTGAACCCAGGAGGCAGAGGTTGCAGTGAGCTGAGATCGTGCCATTGCACTCCAGCCTGGGTAACAAGAGCAAAACTCCGTCTCAAAAAAAAAAAAAAAAAAGAATCTTTAACACCTTCATAGGTTCAGAAGACTGATCTTGAGCCCAGAAAAGGCATTGAGATCCCTGTCCAGAGGCTGAGACTCTTAAGGTTATACTCAGTAAGATAACAGTCTAGGGGAAAAAAATCTGTCCAGAGAGAAATAAAAAAGCTTGCCTTGCTCACCCAGTGAGGTAGAAGGAAAAAAATCTTCTAGTAATTCCAAACAGGCTGGGTGAGGTAGTTGCAGTAATCCCAGCACGTTGGGAGGCTGAGGTGGGTGGATTGCTTGAGCCTAGGAATTCAAGACCAGCCTGGGCAACATGGGAAAACCTTGTCTCTACAAAAAATATAAAAATGTGCCGGGTATTGTGGTGTGCACTTGTGGTCCCAGTTACTTGGGAGGCTGAGGTGGGTGGATTGCTTGAGCCCAAGGAGGCAGAAGTTGCAGTGAGCCGAGATCCTGCAACTGCACTCCAGCCTGGGCAACAGAGACAGACAGATCCTATCTTAAAATAAAATAAAATTCTAGAAAGCAGAAATTAATCTGTAGTGAAAAAAAAAAAACAATCAGTGGTTCCTGGGACCAGGGTGAAAGGAAAAATGGACTGTAAAGAAGCAATGAGAAATCTTCCGGGGATGAGAGAAATGCACTGTATTTCGACTATGGCTGCTTTTTGCAGGTACGGACATCTGCCAAAACTCAACTTTTTCTGTTTTGTTTTATTTTTTACAATACATTGGAAACCACAAAACTCAACTTTCCTTAAAATTATTATAGACACAAGGCCGGGCGCGGTGGCTCAAGCCTGTAATCCCAGCACTTTGGGAGGCTGAGGCGGGTGGATCACGAGGTCGAGAGATCGAGACCATCCTGGTCAACATGGTGAAACCCCATCTCTACTAAAATACAAAAATTAGCTGGGCATGGTGGCGCGTGCCTGTAATCCCAGCTACTCAGGAGGCTGAGGCAGGAGAATTGCCTGAGCCCAGGAGGCGGAGGTTGCAGTGAGCCGAGATCGTGCCATTGCACTCCAGCCTGGGTACCAAGAACGAAACTCCGTCTCAAAAAAAAAAAAAAAAAAAAAATTATTATAGACACAAAATTGAAAACATGAGACAAAAACAAGATCATGAAAAACAAGCAGATTTGGGCCGGGCGCGGTGGCTCAAGCCTGTAATCCCAGCACTTTGGGAGGCCGAGGCGGGTGGATCACGAGGTCAAGAGATCGAGACCAACGTGGTCAACATGGTGAAACCCCGTCTCTACTAAAAATACAAAAAATTAGCTGGGCATGGTGGCACATGCCTGTAATCCCAGCTACTTAGGAGGCTGAGGCAGGAGAATTGCCTGAACCCAGGAGGCGGAGGTTGCAGTGAGCTGAGATCGCGCCATTGCACTCCAGCCTGGGTAACAAGAGCGAAACTCTGTCTCAAAAAAAAAAAACCAAAAAAAAAACAAGCAGATTTGAAAATGAACCAAAGAGCACTCCTAATAAGTGTAAAAGGTTAGCTAATGAAAATAAGAATTCAGAAAGCAAATTAGACCTAGCTGAAGAGTAAACTAGGATACTAGAAGACAGATATAAGGAAATTTCCCAGAAGTTAACAGAAAGATAGAAATGGAAATTATGAAAGAACAGGATGTGAAAGACAGAATGAAGAAGTCCAACGTAAGTTAAACATGAGATCTGGCCGGGCGCGGTGGCTCAAGCCTGTAATCCCAGCACTTTGGGAGGCTGAGGCGGGTGGATCACGAGGTCAAGAGATCGAGACCATCCTGGTCAACATGGTGAAACCCCGTCTCTACTAAAACTACAAAAAAGTAGCTGGGCATGGTGGCACATGCCTGTAATCCGAGCTACTCAGGAGGCTGAGGCAGGAGAATTGCCTAAACCCAGGAGGGGGAGGTTGCGGTGAGCCGAGATGTGCCATTACACTCCAGCCTGGGTAACAAGAGCGAAACTCCGTCTCAAAAAAAAAAAAAAAAAAAAAAAAAAAAAAAAATCTGAAAGAGGTAAAGAGGTAATGATTGGGAATTTTTACAAAATTAGCGAAAAGGCATGAAATTTCAGATTAAGGAATTACTATATGCCCCCAGTACATAGTAATTTAATAAAATTAAATTCACAACCTATAATGGAAATACAGAACACAAATGACAACAAAGAGGATCTTAAAAACAACCAGAAAGAAAGACAGCTTACCTGCAATAAAATAATTTGTAAGCATAGTTCTCAAGAGTAACAACAAAAATTCAGAATTTCAATGAAATAACACTTTCAAAGTGTTAAGAGACAATAATTGGAAGCCTAATACACAGCTAAACTATCAATCAAGACTGAAGGTGAAATAAAGATTTTTTAAATGAAGACAGTGTTTACCACTAACAGATTCCCACCTAAGCAAACATATGAACGATGTGTGTATCTATTCAATAAAAAAGGAAGGAATAAAATGCAAGGAAAACTGGACAAACAGCAGACATATATGGGTGAAACGAAATAATCACTAACAATATAAAACAACACACATTTTAATTGAGATGGAGTTTCACTATGTTGCCCAAACTAGCCAAGAACTAACTCCTGGCCTCGAGCAATCCTTCCGCCTGCTCCTCCTGCCTCAGCCTTCAGAGTAGATGGGATGACATGGCCAGCCACCATGCCCAGATATGAAGTAATAATAATAATAATAATAATTTTTATTAAAAAATGTGGAATGCTTCACAAATTTGCGTGTTATCCTTTTGCAGGAGCCATGCTAACTTCTCTGTGTTGTTCTAATTTTAGTATATGTGCTGCTGAGGTGAGCACAAGTAATAATTATAGAATTGTTCAACATCGAGACGGATTGACTTTGGGAATGGTCTCATTCTAGAAAGTCCTCATTTTGAGTCTGGGCAACACCTTTTTATACGTTTAGTGTGCACTGGGTTAGAGGCTGAATTAAATGACCACACCCTTTCAACGGCAATAACCGCAATTAGTTTTTCACCAACCTACATCTTCTGATCATAATTTTATCAATTAGACACAGCTGTCCAACCAGCCCCTGATCAGCTCTGTTTAGCCACCTAAGCAGGGCTTTGCCCTCATCCTAACAGTTCTAGAATTCAAGTCTTATTTCAAGGCATTCTTTCCACTTCTATATTCCACATGTAAAAAAGAATTCTATGTTCCTTAATGAGATTTCAGGTAAGAACTTTAAGCTTTTGGGGTGCACAGCTTTTTGCTTTGAACTAAGATTAGGCATTACAATTAGTCATCACTGCTTGACCTTACGCTAAGAAAAGAGTACTTTGGAAGCTTTCACTAAGAAGTATGTGCTTCTTCCTCTAAAGGAGAAAATACCACACAGAAACAGAGGGAGAGAGGAAAAATACACCCATCTGTGCTGACTGAAAGCTACTTTACATGATCCTCATGTTCGCCCCAGGTTCCCATATATTCACAGCAGTAAAGATCTCCACAAAGTAGAGAGGCCCAGCAACCTTACCATGAAAGCTTTAACGACCCGACAACCCAGAAGTTTGGAAACACAGAACCAGGGAACAGATACTAGAGACAGGAAAGTATGTATTAAGGCAAGAAAATATCACGTTTTCAAGAGGGAGTGCCATTCCAGGAAAGAGGAGCTTAATACTGGGGTTCAAATGCCACTAAATAAAAATGGGAAAGCAAAGTTCCTCTGCCCTTTCAGTCCAGGAAAACACATTATTCCAAAGCAAACATTAATGCCCATTACATGTCGCAAATCCTGCCTTAGCCATTAGGATACAGTGACGAAAAAGTCTCTCATTATCTAGAAGGGCAGACAAACACGCAGAGACTCTTAAAATACCAGATGACAAGTGCTAACTCAGAGGTAAGCAAAAGAGAGTACCCAGAGGCGGCAGCATCAACCCACAATCTTCACACAGTCACACCACTTATAATCATAAATTTGTACTCTCCGAGGTGGGTGTATGAAACATGTTATCTGTGAATAAAACAAAATACCAAAACAAAACAAGCCCATAAAATAAAAAACAAAAAGACCTACCTCTTTTGACCAGGACAACTACCCCAGGAAGTAGGTAAGTTTACATATAGGAAAAGTGAGGCTCAAAATACACCGACCAGTCCAAGACAATGCGCACCCCCACAAAGCACCTTCCCCGTCCTCATTTATGCCCAACCGGCAAAACCCCAAGTAGAGCCAACCTCGCAGTGGCTACGTAACCCTGGCCAAACTAAACATTATAAACCTCAGGCTCCCCACCTTTAAAGTATAACAGGTGGTTAGAGGATTGAAAAGATAAACCTTTGGCAGGTCATTGTGGACAGTGTAGCTCAGAAAAATGCTGACTACTGCACTACCGTAACTACTGCTATTGTTAACGATACGGTGAAGACTTTCCAGGGCCAGATCCCTCGCTTACAAGCCTTTCAGGAATTTGCCCTACCCCCAACCCCCGACTCCCGTCGCCCTCAGACTTAATTTCACAGACACGCCCCCAAACAGACCCTCCCCTTTATGGCACCCCCGGCTCCTCCCCCTCAGACTGGCGGCTCTCCTAACAAACCTTACCCCCAGATTCTGCCCTTTCGGACTCGGTTACGGAGGAGGCCTTCCGCTCGCACCGGCCTCTCCCGCTCCGCCTCGCGATTCCCACTAATCGTACCTTGTCGCGGGCTTGGGCCAGCGCTATGAGCGCACAATTAGTTTAAACTATGGCTCCGCCCCCTCGTGCTGCCCTCTGATTGGCCTCTGTCGGCAGTTGTCTTACGCGAGGCACGCTTGAGGACCCGGGGAAAGGAAGTTTGAGGGCCACTGGGAAAGAGAAGGGGTATCACCGCTTCCGGACCCTGGCCTTGACTTGAAGGCAAAGAAAACTACAAATCCCAGCGGCACCCGCGGCCTTGGAGCTCCGCCCCCCGGTAAGCATAGCGTCAGTTCTTATGGCGCCTGCGGGGTAGTGGCGACGATAGTAGTTGCCATGGAGTTACTCTGAGTAACCCTGAGGGACGCCGAGACTGGAGAGGAAGCAACTGCGGGTGAGTCAGGCGGGAATACAGGAAACCCGTTCTAGGGGACCAGAGATCTGTGGAGAAGGGAGGGGCACCCACATAACGACTAGGAACTTCCCTGCTGGGGGATCTGAGATTTCCCCCACCTACCCTCATCCCCTTTCACAGTGAACAAGACACAACACCCACATGGGACAAACTGTGGGGGCAGAGGGAGGGAAAGGCGTTGAGATACAAACCCTTACAGATTTGGGAGTGTTTAAGAACCTCCCCAGGGCCGGGCGCGGTGGCTCACGCCTGTAATCCCAACAGTTTGGGAGACCAAAACTGGCGGATCGCTTAAGGCCAGAAGTTCGAGACCAGCCTTAAAAACATGGCGAAACCCCATCTGTACCAAAAATACAAAAAATTAGTCGTACCTGGTGGCGTGCTCCTGTGGCCCCAGCTACTAGGGAGGCTGAGGTAGGAGGATCGCTTGAGCACAGAAATTGAGGCTGCCGGTGAGCCGTGATTGCACCACTAAACTCCAGCCTGGGCTACAGAGCAATACCCCCATTTCAAACAAAACAAAAACAAAAACAAAAACAAAAACGAAACAACGAATCTCCGCCCCCAACGCAAACGTAAGGCTCCCAAAATCGGATGCTTCAAGTCCCAGGCTTAACCTGGGAGATCAGAAACGCTCTCAGAAATGGGATTGGTTTTCCTCTGAAGAATTTAAACCCTCTTCCAAAACATGCGATTAGCATTAGATAGAGTAAATCCGCAGTCCCTAGCCTAACTCTGGAGATGTAGGAAACTTCCTGGGGTGTGAAGTGCCTCTTTCCTTCCTCCCCAAGGGGTAAAACCTCTTCTCAATTGACAGGATCCTCCCACGCTGTTCCCAGATTCCCTTTTCTCCCCACCTTCTCCATGGTCCGCTACTCAAAGCTCTAGTTAGTTATATTCTTTTTAGTCCTCACGGATCTATTACATTGAGTAACTTACCCAGCGCTTTCACAGTCTCTCTGTTGATACTCTTAACAGCTCCGTGAGTCAAGGGTATTTGTCTTCATTTCACAGATTGGAAAAACGAAACCCAGAGAGAAGGGACTTGCCCAAGGCCACACACCAAATTAGTGACAAAGCTAGAACTTGACTCCAGTTCTCCGACTTTCAGCTGTCTCTTTAGCTTGAGCCTACTACCTTGATAGCTGAAAGACTTGTTCCAAGGAACAAGTTAAACTGCCCCAGGGAAAAGTAACTTGTGTAGCCTACTTTGGACTATTTACACTTCAGCCTGAATAAATTTCAGATCCTTCCATGAAAGCTGTAATGGGGAAAAGGAACTAGAGAGACTAAAGACAATGACACTTGACATTTTTAACTAAACAGGAAACAGGAGGGCTAACACAGCACCCATGTCTGAAGTGACCATGATTAGCTGGTTTCTAGCTGGTGGCTAGCTGGCCCTGATTGGTCCACTTACCTTAAAGTTCTCCCAGGCTTGGTCCTATGCCCGCTGGCCACTGCACTCTATATTCTCTTCTTGGGTACTCCTCCACATCCACAACTTCATTTTCCACCTGTATGCAGACGTACACACTGTATGTCTCCAGCCCAGCTCTCATCTCTAAGCTCCAGATCTATACAGCCAATTACCTTCTCAACATCGCCTTTAGGATATCTCAAAGGCAGCCGAAACTCTACATTTCTGAAAGTGAAACCAATCTCTATGTACCCCAACCCTTTCCTCCAAGCCTGGATCTCTTTCAGTGCTCCTACCTTTTTCCACAGTATACACAAGCCCAAAACCCAAGAGTTAATACCTCTCCCATTTACTTAATACCTCTTCCATTTCCCATCTATTATGAAGTCTTAGCAGCTTTACTTCTTGAATATATATTATGTAGGTACTAGCTACCATAACATCCTTCTTGCCTTCCCTTCCAGCCATATTTTCATACTGCAACCAGAGTAATCCTTCAAAATGCAAAGCTGATATTGTTCACTTGCTCCACCCCACCCCCACCTTTTTTTTGAGACGGAGTTTCGCTCTTGTTGCCCAGGCTGGAGTGCAATGGCGTGATCTCAGCTCACCACAACCTCCGCCTCCCTAGTTCAAGCAATTCTCCTGCCTCAGCCTCCCTAGCAGCTGAGATTACAGGTATGTGCCACCACACCCGGCTAATAGTAGAGAAGGAGTTTCTCCATGTTGGTCAGGCTGGTCTCGAACTCCTGACCTCTGTGATCCACCTGCCTTGGCCTCCCAAAGTGCTGGGATTACAGGCGTGGGCCACAGTGCCAGGCCAGCGCCCATTTAATATTAATAGTTTATGGTTTCCTATTGCTCCCATCTCTCCAGCCTCCAGTCTAACCATACATATTCCTCTTTCTTTCCCCTTCAGTTATATAACCTTTAAAGTCTTCAGAATTTCCAAGTACTCTTCCACCATAGAACCTTTGCATACAGCAGTCACATCTGCCTGGAATGCTTATTCCACACACACACCCCATAAGTTAATTTGTACTTATCCTTTAGATTTCTCAGTCACTTCTTCAGGAATGTCTTCCTAAAGACTGCTCAGACCAGGTCAGATCCCTCAATTACAGCAATCACATGTCCCTCTCCTTTGTAGTGTTATTTCATTGCAATTTTTAATGTATTTGCTAAGCACCTACTACTTGCCAGCATTGTAAGATACAACTGTAAGAAAAACATGGTTCCTGGCCTGGTTGTGTTTATGGACATACAGATAGTAAGCAGATAATTACAGTGTTATGAGTGCTACCATGGCAATCATAACACTATAATTACAGATTTGAGGATAAGGGTATACTTCTTAGAAAAGTTGAAACCTGATCTGAGCCCTGAAGTAAGAATTAGCAAAACAAAAGGAAGGAAAAAACTATATTCCAAGCAGAGAGAGCTGGAAGGAGACACTGTTCCACTTAGGCCCAGCGGCAGGTGGAGAGAACTTAAGGTAAGTAGTTGCATTTGGCTGAACTGCAGAATTGGAAGTGAGAATGGATGGGAGTAGAGGGGGGTGGACAGGGGCCAGGTTGAATCTTGGGCCTCCCTTTGACACCTGGGAATATAACCTAACAGAATATATTAGATTATGTGGCAGATTTTTCTTTTCTTTTAACAGGGTCTTGCTCTGTTGCCTAGACTGGAATGCAGTGGCACAGTCATAGCTCACTACAGCCTTGAACTCCTGGGCTTGAGCCATCTCCTGCCTCAGCTTCCCAAGTAGCTGAGACTACAGGCGTGAGCTGCCATGCCTGGCAAAATATGTGGCAGATTTATGATAGCATTCTTTTTCTTCCCCCTTCAGTCCATCATCAGAAACTCTCAGGCCAGGCTATTGAATCTCCTATCAGATTTATGTGATTATTCCTCAAAGCTTCCTGTCTTATCATGTTGCAGCTTGCCTGAGAGAGGGCAGGAATAGGCTAGCAACAAATCAAATTCCAATTGTTAGTAATTTCCCAAAACTGAAAACAGTTTTGTGTCAATTTGGGATTGGTTAAATAAAGTTAAATTAAGTAAATAACATTAAAGTATGATACATAGTATACTTTGCAACTATTAAAAAAGTTAAGAGTTTGCAACAATTTGAAAATTAAAAAATAGGTTTACAAAGGCATAGAGATTGTTTATTTAAAAATATACATAATCTAGGCTGGGCACAGTGGCTCACACCTATAATCCCAGCGCTTTGGGAAGCCAAGGTGAGTGAATGGCTTGAGCCCAGGACCATTGAGTTCAAGACCAGCCTAAGCAACAGGGCAAAACCCTGTCTCTACAAAAAATACAAAAACTAGCAGGGCATGGTGACATGTTCCTGTGGTCCCAGCTACCTGGGAGGCTGAGGTAGGAGGACTGCCTCAGCCCAGGGAGGCAGAGGTTGCAGTGAGCTGAGATGGCACCATTGCACTCCGGCCTGGGCAACAGAGTGAGACCTTGTCTCAAACCAAAAAAAAAAGAAAAGAAAAAACCGTGTGTGATGTGTATGTGTGTGTAACCTTATTAGATATATATTCTAGGAGGTTATATTCCCAAACTGTTAATCGAGATTAAGACTTTTAAGTTTCTTTTTTTTTTTTTTAAGATGGGGTTTCACCATGTTGGTTAGGCTGGTCTTGAACTCTCAACCTCAGGTGATCTGCCCACCTTGGCCTCCAAAGTGCTTGGATTACAGGCATGAGCCACCGTGCCCGGCCTCAGACTTTTAAGTTTCTATTTGATGTACTTTTCTATGTTGCTTCACTTTATTCACCTATCATATTAGCTTTTACAATTAAAAAACAAAACAGTTAAAGATACTCTTAATTTGGAAATGAGAAATTCCAGTTCTGAAACAAGGCAGGTATGCCGCTAACCCTGTCATTTTTCAAGTCAGTCCGTCTGGACAGATGAAGGTGCTGGCCCCTGATTATCTCCTGGTCATAAGCCAGCATAGCAGCTGGGAAAGACTGACTCCAAAAACACAGCCACAGGAGTACGCCTGGCTGCATCAAGGCTTTGTCAGTTCTCCCCAGCAGTCAAGCTCTCAACGTGACACCTTGAAGACTGCATTAATTCCTTATTTCTTTTGTCATTTTTCCATTCATCCATCCATTTTCAATTGTCCACCAAACCTTCAGTGAATATGCTTTTTTTTTTTTTTTGGCCAGGCTTAATGCAGGATAATGATGAGAAGGGAGAAAGAAATCTGAGTCTTGTCCCTGTTCTCAAGCTTATAGGAAGGGCAAAGAAAGTAGGTTCTAAAGAAATTAACAGAGAATACAACTGCTTCCATTTATTGAGCACCCGATGCCAGATGTACAGTAGTTCTCAAGGTAGGGTTTATCTCCATTTCATAGATGAGTAAACAGGCTGTAATAAAATTTTGTTCAAAATACCGTGGGGGTATGTAGAAGTTAGCTTTGCTGTGTAACAAACCATTCCAAAACACAGTGGCTTAGGATAATAAACGTTTATTATTGCTTCTAAGTCTTAGAGTCAGCTGGATGGTTCTTCTGGTCTTGGCTGGGCTTACTCATTTGTCTGCTGTCATCCATGGTTGGGTGACTCTCCTGATCTTGACTAGGGGTAAGCTGACTGTAAGCTAGTCTAGAGTGGCTGCAGCTGGAATCACAGCTCTTTCACGTGTCTCTCACCTACACATCTCTTAAAACCCTCCAGCAGATCAGCCATGTTCTCATGGCACAGGCAAAGAGTAAGAGGGCAGGCCCCCTTTAAAGCTTCTGTTGGCTTCATGTTTATCAACATCCCACTGGCTAAAACAACTCACATGTCTGGGCCCAGCATCAGAGTGAGATGGGACTACAATGTTATAGGCAAAAAGGAATGGATACAGGGGAGACCATGAATAAAGATCATCAAAATAATCAGTCTAAAACAGGACACATTAACCAATTTTATCTGGAAAAGAAAGGCTTTATAGAAGAGGGTATATTAGAGCTGAGTGTTAACACATGAAAGAGTATTCACTAAGTGGGCAGCTGTTACTTGGAACTGGATGCAGTCTGATTTGCCACAATCAATAGAAACTCCACAGGTCTTTCTGTGCTTATGACAGGGTTCTATTATTTGTATCTTGGCTTCATTTCTTCTGGTCAGGCACAGGGCAGCAAGCACTCAACAAATGTTTGCTGAATTGAAATGAATATCTGACTGTGAACAAGGTGCGGACTGACTGAAACAGCTGAACCTGGGAGCCAATTGTTAGAAAGAACAACTTAGCATCAACTCTTCTGAAACAGAAATCCTCAGATTTGGCAGTTTCTCATTCATTCATCCCACAAACATTTTCTGAGTGCCTGTTGTAAACCTGGTTCTGTGTTGGATAATGAGTAAGACACGATACTAGTTCACAGCCTGGGCAACAGCTTAAATACAGAAGCCTAAAAATTAAGCAGCTTCTTGGGGTTCCATTTTTAATATTAATTCATTCAGAAAATGCAACAGGAGCTGGTGCTACACAAAATCAGAAGTCCTCAGAAACTGCACTGGGGTTCTCCGATAGGCAAGAAAACTAACAGTAAAAATCTGCCCTTAGGCCAGGCGCGGTGGCTCAAGCCTGTAATCCCAGCACTTTGGGAGGCCGAGGCGGGTGGATCACGAGGTTGAGAGATCGAGACCATCCTGGTCAACATGGTGAAAACCCGTCTTTACTAAAAAAAAATACAAAAAACTAGCTGGGTGTCGTGGCACATGCCTATAATCCCAGCTACTTAGGAGGCTGAGGCAGGAGAATTTCCTGAGCCCAGGAGGCGGAGGTTGCGGTGAGCCGAGATCGCGCCATTGCACTCCAGCCTGGGTAATAAGAGCGAAACTCCGTCTCAAAAAAAAAAAAAAAAAAAAAAAAAAAAAAAAAAAATCTGCCCTTAAATATTTTAAGTTAAAATCCATGTTCAGTGGTGCATAACTCTGGGGTACTGACCAGTATTTACTCTGAGAAAAGTATCCAATCTTGCTCAAAGGTATCAAACGTGTTATAGGTTTTGAAGTGGGATGGGCTTCTGTCTAAGCTAGGTTTCTCTAATTTCATAGTATACAGCCAGGTTCCTCTATTTTTACAAAAGAATAATGTGTTCGTGGTTGTCTGCCTATAGATTTAATATCTAAAAGTCTCCCTAATATCTCAAGTCTCCCTAATTGACAATCCATGCCCATGGAGCCAGTTCATACAGAATTAAGCCATGAAGTGACTCAAGCTGGCATTTCCCCAAAGCTCAGTTAGGACTGCTGTTTTTTCAGAGCAAGACATTCATTTTCCTCTAAACCTGCTAAACTTTATCCATGTATATGTTAAATTGCCAAAAAAAGGAATTTACTTGAAATGTATTAATTAAGCTTAAACTGAATCATAAGATATGTCCTTAGTTTTTAACAGAAATTCTTTTTTCTTTTTCTTTTTTTTTCTTTTTTTTTTTTTTTTTTGAGACAGGGTCTTGCTCTGTCACCCAGGCTGGAGTGCAGAGGCACAATTATAGCTCACTGCAACCTCCACCTCCTAGGCTCAAGCAATCCAACTGCTTCAGCCTCCCAAGTAAGAAATCCCATTTATCATTTGAATCCAATGATGAGAACTGCAATCCCAAGGTTTCTTTTTGCTTTGGCTGCCAGGAATTTCAGAGCTAAATACAGGCTTAGATTCTTAAAGTGCCTAGTACATCTCTCTCTCCCTGTAATATAGTTTCTGATCTTTCTCTTCCATTTGTAACTTTGTAATCTACACTGTCCAGTATGGTAGCCACTAGTCATGTGTAGCAACTGAGTATTTGATGGGTAGGCTAGTTCAAACTGGGATGTGCTGTAAGTATAAAAAGTATTTCACCACTTCATTTTACTTTTCTTATTTGGCTACTAGAAAATTTTAAATTATATATGTGACTTGCATTTGCGACATAATTCTGGTGGCTAGCACTATTCTGCAAATCACCTGTTTTATGACTGTGTTATTATTGTAAACCTGAAATCCCTTTTGAAAAGCAGGTGAGGCCGGGCACGGTGGCTCAAGCCTGTAATCCCAGCACTTTGGGAGGCCGAGGCGGGTGGATCACGAGGTTGAGAGATCGAGACCATACATGGTGAAACCCCGTCTCTACTAAAAATACAAAAAATTAGCTGGGCATGGTGGCACATGCCTGTAATCCCAGCTACTCAGGAGGCTGAGGCAGGAGAATTGCTTGAACCCAGGAGGCGGAGGTTGCGGTGAGCCGAGATCGCGCCATTGCACTCCAGCCTGGGTAACAAGAGCGAAACTCCGTCTCAAAAAAAAAAAAAAAAAAAAAAAAAGGTGAAATAATACAAATAATAATACAAAGGTGGCAGCAGTGGATGGAATGAGAAAGGGGAGGTCGATTGGGACAAGTTCTTGTCATTCTGTCTTTGGCTTTGTGTGATTCACATACAAACCCCCTGGTAAAGTGTGTTGTCAGCTCTCTTTATCCCAGGTGAGTAGTATTCTCATGGCTCTCTCCTTTGTCTCCAGAAAAACCTCAGCTTAACTTTAGCTAACAAATTGGAAAGGATCTGATAAGATAATTCACACCACATTGCAAGTGACTGAAAACAACATTGTGTTCACCCCTCTCAGGGAATATTTCCATTTTGACAGGGAATAATCCCTGGACCCACAGGATGAATCCCCAGTGGTGGAGTTTCAGGCATCAGTGACAGGTGAGTGAGAGGTGGATTCTGGTTTTATGTGCATATGTGTTTATAGGTGTGTGACTACATTCAGGATAGGGCTGAAAGTAGGGTCTTTGGATGGAAAGGTAATGGGGCTGACAGATAAGCCAAGCAGAGAAGGTAGCAAATCCCCAGCTGGGTCAGACTGAGAGGGGCTGTCAGACACCAACCAGATGCAGTGCAGGCCCTTAGGGATTTGTTAAGCAGTAGAATAGCCCAGTTGATGTCACCAGAGGGTGGGTATCAAGACAGTCTCCACAGTAACTATTGTAGAGTAACAGTAAGGGTCTGGAGTAGGATTCAGGAGATTATGACTGTAGCCTACAACTGACTCATTGGCTTAACTCTGGGTAAGTCCTTTTACCCCTTGGGTTTCTTCGCCTGGCATTTTCCAGACAAAGAAATGGGTGTTACAACTCTCAAATGAGTTCTAAGAGATATGAAAGTGCTCTGAGAAGAGAAAGTGCTCTATACACGCGAGGAACAGTGATTAATATCTTAAAATGGAAATGCAATTAGGCAGGCCTAGAGTAGTAGAGGATAGAAAGCAGGGATCGAGGGCTATAGGGAAACTGAAGGCAAGTGTACTTGAAACACCAGTCTTTCTCTGTCCTCCCAGGCTGAACCCGGACTCCCAGGGCACATGGTTGCACCTGATGAATGATGGCCTGAACTATGAACCAGCAGGACTATATGAACACTTGGGTACAGGAGCCCCCTCTTGACTACTCCTTCAGAAGCATTCAGATCATTCAAGGTCAGCCCCCAGAGCACAGCACTCCACTCACTTAAGGCAGCAGGTCCAGGGTGGTCCCTAGGGAGAAACCATAATCTTCTACAAGAGATTCTTCCCATATGCTTGCAGATGTGTTGTTACTGTCTTTTGGAGGTGGGGTGAGAGTTTATTTTTGTCCTTTGTTTTGTTTTTCCCCTTGACACAGCCCCAGGAGATCCTGAGAACATGTGCCCAGTTTGTTTTTTTTGAATGCAAATCTGAAAGGAAAAAGGGGGCTATCACAGTATTTGATCATTTTTTTTTTTTTAATTGAGAATCCTAATCTCTTTTTTTTTAGAGACAGGGTTTCACCATGTTGGCCAGGCTAGTCTCAAACTCCTGACCTCAGGTGATCTGTCTGCCTCGGCCTCCCAAAGTGCTGGGATTACAGGCATGAGCCACCACACCCAGCCTTGATCATCTTTAAAAGAAGCCAGGCTACAGCAGGAAAGTCAAGTGGAAGAAAACTGGGAAGCCAGTCTATCAGCCAATAATTTTATTTTCCTGTTTTTACCTGAAGACAGGAGGAAAACACAGGCTGCTGTGAAGTCCCCAGCAAGTAGGCAGAACCCTTCTCCTCTGTCCGCAGACACAAGTCTATTCTGACTGGCTAAACACGTGGGGTCTTATCAACAAACTGGCATCTTTCCAGTTTAAATACTTAACTGACAAATTTCTTACACTCATTCCAGCCATGTCCAAGTTTATTCCATCATCACCCACACTTATTGCAGGTTCCAACACTGCCCACACTCACTCCCATTTTGCCATTCAATGTCTTTGTAAATGGGCAGCTAGTCCCTTCGGGAGGGAACATAAGGAGGCTCTCAGCAATGTCATATTCCCAATGAGTCACCCATTCTTCCTTGGGAAGTTCTGTCATCCCTGGCTTTTGTTATCTGGTCTTTCATTAAAGCATCAGTACATCTGTCCTCACAGAATACATGTTAACATCCACTATCTTAGACCTATTATTTGGCTTTAGTCTTCTCTTAGGCAATTGGTAACCACCACCTTTAAGCTCAGGAAGCTGGCAAATAGCACCAGTCTTCGATTGGGCTTAGGGTCTACTTGGGTTATCATCAGCCACAATGGTAACTCACGTTTGTTCTCTCACGAGCACACAACCACCTACTGTGATCTTTACTATGCACTGCATCATTTCTGCTTGATGTAGTCCATGTTTCACAACGGGTTTTAGCTGCAATAATAGCTATCTCCAAGACAGGTGAAGTGACAGAGGTGGAAGGGAAGTTACCTCCTACCTATCATGGGAATTTCTAACTCTGAGGGAGGAGGTGTAGCTCTGCCCTCTATGGAGTCCTCAGAATTGGGAGACAAGTAGTACCAAGGGTAGCTCTACACCACAAAACATAATCAGTGCAGATGCCCCATCCATCATTCAACTGTTCAGTATTTACTGAGCACTTACTATTAAGCAATCACATGTGCACGTGTATGCGTGCGTACACACACATACATGTTTGTATGTGTGTGTACGCACGCATGTATGTGTGTGTATATACGTGTGTATATATGTGTGTATATACACACATGTATGTGTGTGTATATACGTTTGTGTGTCATATGTATTTGCCAGGTATTGTGCTCCTTGCTAGGTGTGTGAGAGGCACATGAAAGCCCCAAAAGGTCAGAGTCCCTTGAGATTCCCCAGAGCTTCTGAAACACTTATTTATAGCTGGAACTAAAGGATACAATAGAGTTTGGGGGTACTTGGCACACTATTTGCTGAATGAATAATTATTCCAGAATCTGAAATGGCAGTGCCTTTGGAAGCCATCTAATCTGTGCTACCACCAACCCAAGTCCTCCTCTAACTTTTCACAAAGCTAGTCTTAAGGAAGTCCCCCACCACACACACCTACCATCCCCTTCCAGTTTGTGGTTAAGGGATGACACAAGGAAGTCTATCAAACTGACTTGCATTCTGACACATGGAAACACCTACATGGCAGACTTTCCGAGAAAGGAAAATAGGAACATGGTTTCCCTAGATCTTCCCAGAGCTAAACGCTCCCCAATTCTCAAAGCATTGATATTTGTGGTCCAGCTTCTAGACTTGCCTTGGCCTACTCTGAACAAGGAACCTGAACAGATTGTTAGGCAGTGTAGTGTGTTGGTGGAATCTTGAGAAAAGCTGCAACCTGTGGCAGCCCGGATACGCCACTCCATCCATAAGACCAGCTCTAGCCAGCATCAAGTTTTAGGTAACTCCATCCCACCAGTGGTTCCCTCTGAGCTCAGCCTCCAGCCTATGCTTGGCATTCCCCAAGCTGCTACCTTATCACATGGGGCGCTAGTTCATGTGGGGTTATTTTGACCTTAATTTCTACTCATCTGTGTTATTTTGTTTCAGCGTTCTCAGGAGGTGTGGAGAGGGAGGCAGGATTAGGAATTCATGAGCTGGGGTACTCTGTTCCAGTACCTTCCTGCAACCTCAGGCCCTAACTGTGGGTACTGCTCACTTTAGGACTAAGGCAGAGAGCCATCTGGTGGATGCTGCCTGACCTGCAGCTGAGGAGGAGGAGAGGGGGTGGAAGGGCGAAGGGAGAGTGAAGAAAGCCAGCTAGCTTCAGCAAATACTAAACACTTCCTTCCCAGAGGTGGATCTAGGGAACCAAAGGCTTAGGGGCAGTGGGAAAAATACAGCTACCTCAGCCAGATCTGGCATCTGGTTGTGACTCTATGACTTTGAACTTGGGCAACAAAGCCCGCCCTCTTTCTGGACCTCATTTTGGAAAAAAAAGTGGGAGTGAGGGTTTGGGGTGTTCCATACACCTGGGTTCTAACATCATCCTCTCCTCTTCAGCCAAGCTTTCTGAGGATGTTGTTTATGTTAACTGCTTATATCCATTCACTCTGTTTTCGGTAGAGACAGGGATTTCACAATGTTGCCCAGGCTGGTTTCAAACACCTGGGCTCAAGCAGTCCTCCTGCCTTGGCCTCCCAAAGTGCTGGGATTACAGGTGTGAACACAGCCTCCATTCACTCTTGACTCACTCACTGCAATCTGGCTTCTACCCCTAGGCCCCTGCCATTCCACTGAAGCAGCCCTTACCAAGGTTATCAGGGACTTCTAAGTTGCCAGAATTACTTTTCAGTCCTTACCTCCCTGGAACTAACTACTATAAACTACTGACTCCCAGAACATCTTAGAGACTGTTCTCTCCTGATTTTCCCTGTCCTTCCCTGATTGTTTAACTTTTCTAATGAACTCTTCTTCCTCCCTGACCTTCTTCTCTACTCTCACTCTTCCTGAGGAATCTCATCTCTTTCCCTAACTTGTATGCCTTCTATGCTAACAATTCTCAAGTCTGTGTCTCCTGAGCTTCTGACCTTCATCTCCAAACTGCCCTTCCCAATGCTGTTTCTCCTTCTGTAATTTCTTACCAGTTAATACAACTGGCCACCACTCTTTAATACTCTTCTACCTTTACATCCAGTCAACCAAATTATGTTGATTGTAGGTCCCTCTCATGTCTTGCTTGGATGACTCAAACAGCCAAATTGGTCATTCGGTCCAACTCACTCCCTATAATCCATATTCCACACTGAAGCTTCAGAGTGATCTTTCTGAAATAAAAGATTTGAATCATTTGCTTTAAACGCTCCAGTGCCTTCCCCTCACCTACAGGGTAAAGCCCAAAATCCTTAGTCTGGCATTCAAGACTTTTGACTGGACTCCTGCCTCTTTTTTCCCTCTTCGTCCCCCTTGTGCAATGTGTAAGCACTTGTGCAGGCAAACAGACACACACACCCCAACCCCCACTATTCTGTACCTCTATACCTTTCTTCATGCTGTTCCCTGCCGTTTTACCCTTCTTTGCCTGATAAACATCTCCTAATCCACTGAGATTCAGCTTAGGCTTCACCTTCCCTGGGAAACTTCCCTGAGCGCCCACACTGGGTCAACAGCCTCTCTTCTGTGCTGCTACAACTATTATATAGCACTTACCACACCACATTGCCAGCTTGCTCCCATCTTGCCCATATAAACTCCTCCAAGGCACAGATGTCTACTCTCTTCCCTGTTATTCATACAAAGCCTGGAACAGACTCTGATTTTATTCATCACTGTATATCCACTACCTGGCATACTGTAGGTACTCAACATTAATGCAAAGAGGGGAGATACCAGAGTGTATTCCATTGAAGTGAGTTCTATAGGCTTTACCAGTAGTTAATTCAGGATTTTGTGCTATCATCTTCTCAGTTCAAGCCCAACAATTCTGGTTCTTAAGTCTTCCTCAACCCCACACAGGTTTGGTATACAAAAGACCCAGTGATACAGTAGACATGAGAAGTCCATATGACCTGGAAAGCCAAGAATTTGGAATAGAAGTCTCTGGACCTTAGTCTAAACTTTACTGATTGCTGGAAGCTGTGGGACAAGGTTGCACTAGACTCAAGCACAGGGCTGTGGCTCTTCCAGACCCTCCAGCTACAGCTTGGATGGCTAATCGTTCCAGCTCTATCCCTTCTCACTCCTTAAGGCCAGAAAAGCAAAGATGACATACGCAAGTCTCACTTTGTCCCCACAGATCTGGTAAATGAGGAGCCAAGGACAGGGCTACGACCACTGAAGCGTTCAAAGTCAGGGAAATCACTGACGCAGTCCCTGTGGTTGAACAACAATGTTCTCAATGATCTGAGAGACTTCAACCAGGTGGCTTCAAAGCTGTTGAAGCACCCAGAGAACCTGGCCTGGATCGACCTGTCCTTTAATGACCTGACTTCCATTGACCCTGTGAGTTCCTACCCCTAGGAATCCAGTAGGGGAGACTAGATAACATGTAGGAGTGGAGAGGTTGGGGGCTGAACAAAGTAGCTGAAGCCTGGAACAGACTGTCTCTCTGTTCCAGTCAAAGTGTCTGAAGCCACTTTGTTCAGCCCTCAACCACTCCACTCCTACATGTTATCAAGGAAGTAGTGAGGCAGCATGGTGCAGTGCAAAGCACAGGCTGGGGGGTCAGACAGATGTAGGTTCAAATCCTGGGTTTGCCTCTTACTGTGACTTTGAGCAAGCTACATAACCTCTCAAAATTGCAGCCTCTTGTCTGAACAATGGGGAAGGACTGAATGAAAATACATGAAAACTAACAAACAACTAGTACATCAGAGGCTGAAGTAAAATTGTACTGTCACTGGGCACCCACTGTGTCCTGTGCTGGGTTTTCCTGTGGAAAAGGTAGGCAGTAAAAGTACAGCACTTACTTTCTGTGAACTCAGATTCAAGTTTTAGGAAATAAAGTTTGGCCTTTTCTGGTCCAGAATCCCTAAGAGGAGAAAGGAACTGGAGCATGACTTGGAAACTATTCCTCTGGTGTGGTGTTCTCAATTTAACCAATATTTTAAAAGCTTCTTATGTGCCTAGCATGATACTCAGTCTTCCTGTCACTTGCTGTGATAGAATCGTAAATCACCAAAGCTGGAAAGGTCTTCATAAGGGGAAACTAAGGCTCAGGGAGAGGCAGGAGAGGCATGTCAGTGGCAGTGCTGGTACCCACGCCCATACTGCTGACCTCAGATCACAGCTCCTTTTCAGTGTGAGGCCCTGTATCTCTTAAAAGGTAAATAAGGTTGGGCATGGTGGCTCACGCCTGTAATCCAAGCACTTTGGGAGGCCGAGGCAGGTGGATCTCGAGGTCAGGAGATCGAGACCATCCTGGCTGGCACGGTGAAATCCCGTCTCTACTAAAAATACAAAAAATTAGCCAGGCATGGTGGCGTGTGCCTATAGTCCCAGCTACTTGGGAGGCTGAGGCAGGAGAATCAGTTGAACCCAGGAGGCAGAGGATGCAGTGATCCGAGATCATGCCATTGCACTCCAGCCTGGGTGACAGAGCAAGAGTCTGACTCAAAAAAAAAAAAAAGGTAAATAAACATAGGTTAGAATCATACAGTATGGCTGGGGAGGGCAGGTTGCTCCCTACATTCTTCCTTTTCTGCCCACCAGTCAGGCCTGAGCATAGAATCAGGGTCCTGTCTAGCCTGGCTTTTGGTTCCCTTCCCCAACAGGTCCTAACAACTTTCTTCAACTTGAGTGTCCTCTATCTTCACGGCAACAGCATCCAGCGCCTGGGGGAAGTAAATAAGCTGGCTGTCCTTCCTCGACTCCGGAGCCTGACACTCCATGGGAACCCCATGGAGGAAGAGAAGGGGTATAGGTAAGTGCCCTGCCCCTGGAGGTAGGGTCTAGCTGGGCTCCCCTAAGGGAAAGGAGGAGGAGAACCAAGAAATTTAAGACCATTCTTCTGCCATACTTGGACTTGGGAAGGGAGTAGCAGACCTTTAAGCATTTCTTGCTATCAGTCAGGATAAACCTAATCTTCCCCAAACTATGCTCAAGTCCCCCATTCCTTGCAGTCAGGGAAGACAACAGCAACTGGTGGAGGGGGAAGGGGATTCTGGTGGTGGGGGAGGGGCTGGCCCCCAGCCTGAGTCTTCCCCACAGGCAGTATGTGCTGTGCACCCTGCCCCGTATCACCACATTCGACTTCAGTGGGGTCACCAAAGCAGACCGCACCACAGCTGAAGTCTGGAAACGCATGAACATCAAGCCCAAGAAGGCCCGGATCAAGCAGAACATACTCTGAGGCTCCAAGGACCCTAGCAGTCCTAAAGGCCTGATGATAGACAGCATGGTTTGACAATAAATGATTTGAGCTGTTGAGCAGGCAACTGCAGGTAGCTCTAGTTTTTTTTTTTTTTTTTTTGAGACGGAGTCTCATTCTGTCACCCAGGCTGGAGTGCAGTGGCATTATCTCGGCTCACTACAACCTCCACCTCCCAGGTTCAAGAGATTCTCCTGCCTCAGCCTCCCCAGTAGCTGTGATTACAGGCGCACACCACCACGCCTGGCTTTTTTTTTTTTTTTTTTTTTTTTTTTTTTTTTAGTAGAGACAGGGTTTTGCCATGTTGGCCAGGCTTGTCTCGAACTCCTGACCTCAGGTGATCTGCCTACCTCAGCCTCCCAAAGTGCTGGGATTACAGGCATAAGCCACGGCTGGCCAGCTCTAGTCTTATTTTGCTGAAAAAGGGAGGCAATGGAGGGAAAGGCCTGCTGGCCTGGGACATAGGAGACCTGGGTTTACCACACAGCCTTGGAAAATTTCTCTAATTCTCTGGGCCTCTTTGTAACACTCTTCAGCTTAGAGATTTGGGAGCTAAAGTAGATCAGTAATTTCCAAACTCTTCACAGAGTACCAGGGTCTGTGGAGATGCCTCATAGGCCTCCATGACAGGCCAAGAAGATGGGCTATGATCTCTGAAAGCAGCCTCTACTTCAACCAGATCAAAGTAATTCCATTCTATATTTTATATGTTGGGATTCTGCTTAAGATTTTATTTGATAAAAAGAATCTTCTGCTTAAAAAACATGTTTACTGACTCCATATTAGATATTCCCAGCAGAGCCTGGTCCGCTTTCACTCCCCACCCCCAACACCACTAGTGTCTCCCTTCACCCCCCAGGGGCTGTTGGTAATTCCACTGAGTCTAAGGCAGGGCCCCAAGAGTCAAAGCTGCCTCACATTCAGGTCTGTTCAGCTTTGACAGTGTTCCCATCATCACTGGACAAAACACAAGAACAGTCTCATCCAATCTGAGGTTAGCCCAAGCCAGGTCTCAGCTAAGAGCTGATACCCTAAACCCTTATCTCCTGGATTAATCTTCAGTGCCCCTGGAAGATGCTTCCTTCCCCCCATCTCACTCTCATAGACCTGAGTATTCAAAAGTAGAATGGGTAGGATAGAGGGGCCAGAAACAGCACTTGGATGAATATACTTCCTTTATCGAGGGTGACAAACCAAAACAAAAAAAGACCAAACATGTAAAAACCCAGGGTTCTAGAAATACAAACTCAATTCATTCCAATTCAAGCTCATCCAGACCCTGGTCACAAACCCTAGTGAGGTGCATGTGAGCACCAAGTCAGGGAGAGGGGGCAGGAGTGACTCTGAGGCCAAGAGAGAGGGTGGGAAGGGGATCTCCCTAGGTCCCCTGGTGATCACCCCCCACCCAGATTGGTATCTTCACATTCTCAATGACGATGAAGACATACCAGGCCCTGTCCTTTTGGCCCCAACCCCATCCCTGGCCAGGGCTTCAAAGGCCAGTCCCAAAAGGTTCTACCCTCACTTGCTCAGGCTTCTAGCCTTGCTCTTCTCCTTCTTCACATTTTTCTCTGTGATTAGTAGCAGGTTAGGGTACTATATAAGCCACAGTGAGGCTGGGGGCCAGGGGGTTGGGGCAGAGATGGGATGAAGAGAGGAGAAGAGCTGTCCAAGGACCCCTCTCTTCATGGGATCCCAAACTGTACAACCAGCTCCTCTTTTGCGTCCACACGGATCTGAGAAAGTGCACTGTAGGCATAAGCAGCTATCCTGGAGACCTAAGACAGAGAGGGGCCAGGGAGGAGAGGAACAGAGACAGGTGAGGAGGGCAATCAGGAAAGAAGGGGAGGGGGGGATTAGATGGTGATGAAGGAGAAGGAGGGAATGATCAGGGACAGGAAGAAAAGGGAAAGAGGGGTGGGAGAGACAGAAGGAAAAGAACAAAGGTTGGGGGGAGGAGATAGGAAAGACATTAAAAGTTAAAGAGAATGAGGTGGGAGGGAGCTGAGGCCCACAAGGCTACCGGGCTCCCTAACTCCACTTTCCCTACCTCCTGTGAGGCAGGGTGGGTGAACCCTCTGCCATACCCTGGGCAGTGTGGGAAGGGTGGGCAGGGACAGGCGAGGGGTGTCTCACCTGCTGCAAATCGGAGAATGGGATAGGCTCGCTGGCCAGCACTTGGTGGGGCTGGCTGGTAAGAGATGGCAGAGGTGGCAGCTTCTTCCAATGGGTCAGGCTGCTGCTCAGCACAGCCAAGCGGGTGCTGACCAAGAGAGAGGGGATGGGGGTACGCAGTTAAGCCACAGTCTGCCCTGCCCAGCCCAGGTAAGCCTCATTCCCTCAAGCCAGAGAAGCAGGGTGCCGAGGGGGCAGGTATCGCACAGGGGAGGTCTCAGCTTATCACAGACTCACTCCAGGCCCACCTCCCTTGGTCTCAGCACCCTCAAGAATGTCACAGGGTAAACAGGGCTGACATGAATATCTACTGAAGCACCCAAGTGATCAAGTGTTCTGTGGTCAGTCTTCAGGACTGCACCCAAATAAGAAGCTTGGACTAGGGGCCAGGCTCCAACGCCGGAACAGTGATGGAAGGTAGGAGCCCAAGTAGCCTTAGGGACCAACACTGGCCAGGTGCTCACCTGTACTGCCTGGCACGGTCCATGTACTCATGCTGCTCCATGCCCTGTGAGTCTGCAGCAGACACATCAATGATGTTGCTGTGGGTAGAGGAGACAGAGATGACATGACAGGTGCTTCCGAGAAGGACAAACAGGACTCAGTGCTAGGTACCAACTCCAGGGCTATCTGACGCCAATTTCCTTCCTGCCTACTGGAGCAGGGCTAGACATGGAGGCACCTCTCCCCAGTGACCTTGTCCTATCCACCATGTCCTGAGCCTGGCTCCCTGTATCCCAGCCTTTAATATGGATAGAGAAACTCTGACTGAGGCCTGGTGCTCTGACACTTACCTGGCTGTCTTGGCAAGGATGGAAGAGAGCAGGGCCTGCTCATCTGTACGAGCGGAAGGCAGGCTGTGGTAGTTGGGCTCAGCTCCATTGAGGGCTTTGGTAGGGGGACTGCTAGGGTCCAGCAGCAGCTTCCGTTCCTCTCGGTCCTAGAAGAGGCCATGGGAGAGAAGTCAGTCCCAGAACCCTTAGATCCTGCCTGTCATGGGTACTACCCTCCGCCCAGCTCTGACCTTAAAACACCAAAAATATTTCTATAAGGAATATCCAGAGTGCCCAGCTTTATGGAATGCCAGGTAACACTCAGTTCCTGCCTATCGTTGGGAGCTCAGTTGAGTTGTTGTTAAACAAGAGTGGAACCAGGCAGTCCTAGAGGCCCTGAAAAAAATGGACAGAGGCACAAAGCAGGTAGTCGGCAACAGCCCTGGAGCTTGAAAAACAGTCTAGAACCTGGCAGAGAAAGAATACTAGAGGCTGGAAGACAGAGGACCTGAGACATAGCAAAGCAGAGGGATCTAGAGGGGGAATCGTGCAAGTCAAGAGCCCAGGAACAGCCCTCCTCATTCCCCAGCACCAGGCCCTCCCCAGCAAAGCTGTTTGCTTCCAAGATGGAAGCCCTGACGAGTCCAGACAAGGCCCTAGGCCCCAAGGGAAAGAAGCCCAACCTCTCCATGGCCATTTCTCAGATTATGTCAGGGCAAGAATCTCAGCCCAGCTCTGGGTCACACAGTACAAGTGTGCTCCCTTCTTGAAGGCAGGTCCCTTCGAAGGTGTTCATCCTCCTGTGCTCTGGTGCTCTTTTTGTATGTGACTCCAAGAACCAAACTGAGTGTACATGGTGTATCCTGATCTGAGCAGTAGAGTTGTAGCCGTGTGTGATGACTCATACCTATAATCCCAACACTTTGGAGGCCCAAGGCAGGAGGACTGCTTGAGTCCAAGAGTTTGAGACCAGCCAGGGCAACAAAGCGAGACCTCATCTCTACAAAAAAAATTAGCTGGACTTGGTGGTGTGAGCTTTGTAGTCCCAGCTACTTGGGAGGCTGAAGTGGGAGGACTGTATGAACCCAGGGTTAGAGGCTGCAGTGAGCTAGGATTGTGCCACTGTACTCCAGCCTGGACAAGAGAGCAAGACCCCATCTCAAAAACAAACAAACAGTGGAGCTGTTCCCTCCCTTGTTAAACCACCTGAGTAACCCCTGTAAATTTTCAGCAGCCCTGTTACTGCTGATCTACACTGATAATCACAACCCCCCGAAATAACGTTAAGACCAAACCAAGCTTCCTCACTGGTTTGGTCTTACTTCTTGTCCTGGTTTAGTTCCCTGTTCTATCTACTGTAGTATTTCTGGATTTGACCCTGCCTTGAGCCCATCAGCTGCAAATCCTTGCTGGCTGTATCAGCTGTAAATTGGGGGAAAAAACAAACAAACAAACACCTGCTGCATATCTATCCAACCTATAAAGAGCAAGAGTGCCCTGGACAAAGCAAGGATGGGCCCAGGGGGACATCGTGGCTAATGCTGACTCACCAACCTTCAGTGCCAGACTCCTCAACACTTCCCTCTGGGCCTCAGTTCCTCAGTCTTTCCTGCTGCAGGCTCCAGCTCCCCTGCCCCAAACTCCACAACCCTCCTTGTAGAGGGCCACTTCCTCCTGCCCTGCTTAGGCAGGCCCAGCTTTTTCACCTTACTCTTCTTTCTCAAGCCCAGGTTGGCCAAGTGTCCTCAGGCAATTTGATCCAGTTCCCAGCAGCAAGGGACAGAAGCTGTGGGCTTTGTCCCATCACCTCTAAACTCCCAGACACCCTTCCTCCCTAAAACATAGGTTCAGTATTAAAGAGACAAAGACAAAATGTTTGACAAATATAAAACCATGTATTTCTAAGGAAAGCTGGCTCCTTAATGAGGCCCAAGTTAGCTTCCTATGTCTGTCCTCCCAGCTCCACTTCAGACAGATCTTCCTGCAGGACAGGGTAGTCTCTTCCCTATCGGGTTATTCAAGGTTAGTTGATCACTTCTCAGCCTTTTAGCTAAGATCAAGTGAAGAACAAGGCTGTTTTCTTGAAATCTAGACTTAAGAGGTCATGCTACCTACCCCCTTTAGAGTAAACAAATATCACCCAACTCCCAAAGTACGACTGGAGCATGGGGTAGGCTTGTCACACCAAGATTCATCTCTTCGTCAGTGTAACCCAAGAGGCAGGGTTTCACTGTCTGCCCTAGCACAGATACACAGCAGCCTGCCCATGACTGGCCACCTGGTCTAGGGGCATGGCTGAGACAGCTTGGCCCTATGGATAACGTACACGGCTTGGCATCACAACACCTGGGCTACAGCACTTCAGCTTGACTAAATCACTTAGCTTCTCTGAACTTCTTCCTCACCTTTAAATAGACATTACCCACACTAATATGACATATCTGGCAAGTTAAATTAGATAAATGTGAAGACCCTTTGTACACTGTAATGTGTTGTGCAATTCTTTTTATTATGATAGAAGACAGATGAGAGTGGGCGAGGGGCCTGGCAAGAACTGAAAGAGGGACTCTGGGATGGTGGATGGTTATGGCCCCTGCTACATGAAGCCTCAGAACACCTAGCAGTGATTAAGCACCTTCTCTGGGGGTTAGAAACAGAAATGAGAGCCCACTAAGGAGAAAGTAGAGATTCAGGAGAGCAGCAGGCCCAGCTCTCCCTTCCAACTAGAAGCTGGTATCCTTTCTCGTAAGGCATTAATCCTTCTTGACTCATTCCCTGCAAGAGTCCATATTATGCTTTAAGGGACAATTTCCCACTAGGCCACAGCTCTGCAGGTAGGCAGGATTATTGTTGTCTCTTTCTCAAAAAGGTGGAGGTGAAGTGAGAGGTATTGGGCATGACACATGCCTAACACAGGGCAAAGGATAGATGTGTTCATTGGGTGTATGGAGAATTGAGAACCAGGAGCCACCCTTGCTTTCCATACAAATGACATTTTCCTAGGCCTAAGCCCTTAATCCAAAATACCTTCACTGCAGAAAAAACTACTTCCCCAGTACCAATGACATAATTATTTCGATGGCCATCTCCCCCATTATACTGTGAGCTACTTGAACTCTTTCTACTTTCTCAGGTCTACCACTGTATCTAAGCCTGGATTCAAATGCAGAATCCAGGCTTAGATACAATCAAAAAAGGAGAGTGGACAGCAATTTGAGACTTCGTCCTTGAATGTCAGGCCAGGCAGGGCAGGGATTCGAGTGTGGAGAGAAGTGAGAATGCAGTAAGGGGAAGATGGAGAATTTAAAACTGTTCAAGTCTAATCCTTTCTTCAAACGGATCAGATCTACAGCCAAATTCTCAGAACAGGCTGTCTCCATCTAAAGGAACCCTCAGGCCCCAGGAAGAGACTGCACTGAGGCAAGCCAAACTCAGAACCAAATGGACTTCCTGTTCCATTTCTCTTTTCCCACAATCTAGCCAAAGCTAAACCCTCTTTGTTGCTTCCCAGACAACTTCCCACATGTCCCGATGTCCTCATTGTATCGATTAAATCCTTCATTGGCCAACTCAAAGGCCACCAACTTCCAGAGTCGTCGTCTGGCCCTAGACTAGCAGCGACCTTCCTTCTGCAACCCCAGGGACGAAGAGGATACACAAATTCCTGATTCATCTCAGGACAGACTAACTCAGGGCCTCAGCTTACCTACCCCTACAAGGGATTCGCAAATCTCACTAATACAGAAGAGACAGGAAGCTGGGAAGGCAGTGCTTCCCGGGGACCTAAACTGAGGATCCCTCAATCTGTAAAGTTTTGAAGGTAGGAGCAAACGGAACTGGTGGGAGCGAGCCGGACAGGCGGCTGCCTGCACACCCCGAGACGGGGACTGTTAGAAAGCTGGGGCTTTAATAGGGGTAGGAGCCCGGCTTGGCGTCTCCTCTGTAATCTGTCCCCTCCAGGCCTCCGTACTCAGTGAGCCTTACAGTCCGACTACCCGTCCTTCGCAGGTTTCTTTCTGGGCCCCATGCCCCAGGGTCTTAGCCCTCATTCCCGAGCCCCGCCTGCCGCGGCCGCACCTGGTCCGAGTCCTCGTTCTCGCTGCTGTAGCAGCACCCCATGGCCGGGGTCGGGCCGGGCGCTCAGGCAGCGCCGAGGAGGGACGGCGTCCGTCAGGAGCCCTTCCGGTCACATGACCTGCGGCTGCCTCCCGTAGGCAACAACCCACTCCCTCCCCCCGTCCCTTCGGTCCCGGAGCCGCTTGTCCGCCGCAGTCAATACCCCGGCTTCCGGTCCCGCCCGCTAACGCGTGATCGTTGTCAACCAATGGGAAGGCGAAACCTGCGTAACCAGACACGCAGGCACGTGATACGAGGAAAGGCAGGGGCGGATCACCTGACTTTATCTTTCCAGTCTCTTAAACTGGCAGTAGTAGCCGTCGTGAATTGTTACGCGTTCGCGTGGGCACTAGGCGACTTTTCTGGGCCATTGAGCAAACTCGTACCAAATGCCTTCGTATGCCCTCATAATACCCTTCTAAATGCCATGCGAGGGGCGAGTGGGATACAGGCCTAGATCCACTTCTAGAGCGGACAGCCTGGGTGCACACACAGAGGACCCAGGTGACCGGTACCACGTCGGGGAACACAGTGTGTGTATCGCTCAGCTGAGTTGTCCACCTAGGCTGAGGATCTGCGACTTACAGGAAGAAGGGACCTTACACTACCTTCACATGCTGACACGGAGCGGACATAAATCCTGGTGGAGGAGATAGAAGCCACATCACTGACCTCTCTGCTTTCAGGCTTTTATCTTTAACGCACAAAGCTGATCATCAGTTCTCTTTTCCTAAAACCCTCCCATGTCTTCCCTTGGGCCCTGAACACAGGTCCAAGCCTGTCCTTCAAGATTGTACAGTGATCCTTTTGTTGTCCATGAGCATGTGATTGGGTGTTCACCCGCAGGTGTGAAATATGCTACCCTCAAATCTTATTTAGGGACATTACCCGTCCGACATATCAAAGCCGTGCAGAGCCTAACACCTCTCTCCCACTCCATGTCCTGGGACGGGTGAGGAGTGGAGGGGTAAGCAATGTGTTACACTGGACACAGAGAAATAATGCAGTTTCCGGGTTGATCTACTGGACTCTGCACATGCAGCCTGACACACTGTCTCCCCACCAGGTCTGCCTGCTGTCTTCAAGACTCAGTACAATGTCCTCCTGTTTATCTTCTCTGACCCCATTCTCTGGACATGTCCAGCTCCCTATGCTTAATCATCCAGTGTTGATTCATGCATTTATTGAATCAACAAATATTTGATGAGGATCTACTATGGGCCACAAACGGTTATATCTGGATATGCTGCAGTTCACAAAACAGCCCAAGTCCCCATAGTCATAAAATATCCAATAGTGATCACACTATATTGTATTCTCTGTTCCCGGGTCAATCTCACCTACCGAACTTGGAGTTCCTGGAGCACAGTAACAGATTCTGACTCTTACCTGTGGCCCAAGGCATGGCATTGCTTACAGAAAACTTGCATATCAATGAGTATATTACAGTCACCCCCATCACCTTTGCTCACATCATGCCCCATCTTCTGATCATGCCCCATCTTCTGATCCAAGGGGTCGGAGAAGTCACCAGATCTAGTACCTCTTAAAACCCCTCAAATCAAGACCCTGAAGTTCTGTAAATCTTCCGAGGTTCCTGAAGGGTAGGAGGCAGCTCAAGCTCATCTCTGGGGCTGGTAACTTGAACCGCAGGTCTCAGGTGACAGCAGCAGCCTCAACATGAATAATGGAAAGCCAGTCGCCTCCCGCCTTAGGGTTATCCCCCGCAGCAGGCCCAGGGCTCCCTCACCTGTCCTGTGCTCTGGTCTTCCCTAAGCAGGAGCCTCTAGCCCAGGTAAGCAGGGCCCTGGATTGTGGGTTCCCAAGCACACCAGTTCAAGGCCACTGCATCACTCACCTATTCACACCCATCCATACACTCCTACTTTTTTTACTCCCCACCACCACCAGGGGCCTTGCAAGAAGGCCTGCAAGGTCAGATCTGTATGAGGGAGAGAATGATCCAAGACATGGGAGGAGAGGCCCATTCTCCATAGGGCCCTGGAGAGGAGAGCTGAGTAGAGGGAAAATGTGTGCTGTGTGTTATGTGTATGTACACATTTGTGAAGGGAATTCTGAGACAGCACAGCGGAAGAGGGGAATACAAGGGAGAGGAGATAGGGCTTGAAAATTATTACAGAATCAAAGACTCCTCCTATCTGCAGGGAAGAGCAGGCAGGAGAGTCCTGGAGTGGGAAAGAGGACATTTCACCCTAACACCCTATGGAGTATTTTGATTGCCTTTTACTGAGGCAGAGCACAGTAATAGTGAAGGTGTTTTTGACTGCAAATCTGTGCTCCTGCTACACAGCAATGGTCAGAGGAGACCTGGCAGGCAGGGGGCAGGGTTGGGGGAAGATATCCCAGAGGGGAACTAGTAAAAAGGGTCCTAAAGAAGGGGTGACTTCAGGGATAAAGCGAAACAAGTCAGGGGAACAATGTGAAGATGGGAACAGGGTTTGGGGCTGGGTGCTGAAAATAGACAGTATGGAGTCCTTGAAAGTACACAGGCTTGGAATCATACTAACTTGGATTTAAATCCCAGTTCTGTGTGACTCTAGACAAAAAACATAGGCTTTCTGAGCCATGGTTTATAAAATATAAGGACAATAACTGCTACTGGCAAAGGCTACACAAGTAACAGGCAAATTGTGAGTGTGGGTTTCCCTCCCTACCTCCCTCCACCCCAGGGCTCAGGTAGGGACCATGTCCCCTGCCATTGCTTTGGCCTTCCTGCCACTGGTGGTAACATTGCTGGTGCGGTACCGGCACTACTTCCGATTGCTGGTGCGCACGGTCTTGCTGCGGAGCCTCCGAGACTGCCTGTCAGGGCTGCGGATCGAGGAGCGGGCCTTCAGCTACGTACTCACCCATGCCCTGCCTGGTGACCCTGGCCACATCCTCACCACTCTGGACCACTGGAGCAGCCACTGCGAGTACTTGAGCCATATGGGGCCTGTCAAAGGTCAGTGTTTCCTAGCCTTCTGCTCCAGGAAGTACCCCTAAGTTCATGAAGGAAGATTTGGGATCTATTGCTGCTTTACTGGGTGAATTGGGCAAGTTATTGGTCCTCTTTTAGGGTTTCTCTTTTTCTCATCTGGAAATGAGGAGCTTGGATGAAGTAATTTATTCAGTGAACATTTATTGCCACCTCTTTTGTATTAGGAATGTGCTAGGTGCCAGGGAGCGGGGTAGAGGCCACACAGATGAATGAGCCACAAATGCTGGCCTCAAAGGAAGCATAATACACAGTGGAATAACCATCTCAGCATATAACCCAGAGCTTTGTAATGATCTATGTCCACATCTTTCTTCTCCACACCATGGAGGCTTCCACATCCCATTTAGGGTAGCTGTCTGCCTGTTTATCTCAATCCCAGCACAAATCCTTTTAGGGTCTTATTTAAGAAGTTTGGATGTGCAGTGGCTCATGCCTGTAATCCCAGCACTTTGGGAGGCTGAGGCAGGGGAATCACTTGAGCCCAGGAGTTCGAGACTAGCCTGGGCAACGAAGTGAGACCCCCATTTCTACAAAAAATTAAAAAATGAGCTGCATGTGGTGGTGAGCAACTGTGATCCTGGCAGCTTGGCAGGCTGAGGTGGGAGGATTGCCTGAGCCTGGGTGGTCAAGGCAGCAGTGAGCCATGATCACACTACCGCACTCCAGCCTGGGCAACAGAGCAAGACCCAGTCTAAAAAACAAAAACAAAAACAAAACAGAAATTCATCCAATTCTAAGATCACAAATATATTCAATAAGCAATAAAAGGGGAACGAAACTACAAATTCTAATGGAGATTTTTCATAAATCTGAAAGATAGGGTGGTTGTTTCTGCCTGGGACCTCATAGAGAAAGCAACATTTGAACTGAGTCTGGAAGGATTAGTTTTGAGTTGGCCAGGCAGATGGATATGGGGGTGGGAAGGGAAAAGCCAACCACATACACAAATGTGGCATGAAGTAATGAGACAGCATGATGGATTTTGGGCACAGTTGTTTGGAATGGCTGTGATACAGGCCATAGGTGGGAAGTACTGAGAGATGGAACCTGGAAAGGTAGAATAGGATAAGGTCCAAGGTCCTGAATGCCAGGCTGAGGATCCCAAGTTCAATCCCAAAGGCCTTCAGCTCACAGGAGTCAAGGAGTAATATGGTCAGATTTGTTGGAAAGATTTCAGGGCTGGTGTGAAGACTACACTGGAGGAGACGGGGGGACCAGGAGGGCAGCTGGGGCTATGGTACAAGGGACAGATGAGACCCCAGCTGGTTGAGAACTGCAGTGAGGCAGGTGGGAATTTGAGATCTCTTTCTATCAGGGGCCCTGCATCCATCTCCCATGTTTTCTGCAACAGTCATCTCCCCCACATAGGTCAGATCCTGATGCGGCTGGTGGAGGAGAAGGCCCCTGCTTGTGTGCTGGAATTGGGAACCTACTGTGGATACTCTACCCTGCTTATTGCCCGAGCCCTGCCCCCTGGGGGTCGCCTTCTCACTGTGGAACGGGACCCACGCACAGCAGCAGTGGCTGAAAAACTCATCCGCCTGGCTGGCTTTGATGAGCGAATGGTCAGCCTCCCATCTCCCCAACCAGATCTCTTCTCTGTCACCCCAGGCCTTGCCCTAGCCAGGCATCCCTTGTGAGGGACTCCCATCTAAGAAGGAAGCAGCTCCAGTCTGGGGACTGTGATGCTGGATGGTGTGTGAGCTCCTGCTCTCCTGTCCCAAGTCATCTGCACATTATTTTCTGCTGGATGACAAAAGAAACAGCTAATGCCGGGCGCGGTGGCTCACACCTGTAATCCCAGCACTTTGGGAGGCCGAGGCAGGTGGATCACGAGGTCAAGAGATCGAGACCATCCTGGTCAACATGGTGAAACCCCGTCTCTACTAAAAATGCAAAAAATTAGCTGGGCATGGTGGCGCGTGCCTGTAATCCCAGCTACTCAGGAGGCTGAGGCAGGAGAATTGCCTGAACCCAGGAGGCTGAGGTTGCGGTGAGCCGAGATTGCGCCATTGCACTCCAGCCTGGGTAACAAGAGCAAAACTCCATCTCTAAAAAAAAAAAAAAAGAAAAAGAAACAGCTAAGAGGAAGGTCTCTGGAACACAGCAAATTTGAGTCCAACTCTTACTCTGCCTCTTCTTAGCTATGTGACCTTGAGCAAAGCATGTATCCTCTGAACCTCAGCTTCTTCACAAGCAGAATGGAAATCACAATACTGATCCTGACTTCTTGAGGTCTGAGGTCAGAGGAAATGTCAGAACACTCGTGGGGAGCTAACCCAGTACCTGGCATGAAGTAAGCCAGATCTTGGTGGGGTCTCCAGTGAGAGAACAATTCCCCCAACCCTCACATCCAGCTCCTCCTACCCCTACAGGTAGAACTCATCGTGGGCAGCTCAGAGGAGGTGATCCCATGCTTACGTACCCAGCATCAGCTGAATCGGGCAGACCTGGTGCTCCTGGCACACCGGCCACGATGTTACCTGAGGGACCTACAACTGCTGGAAGCCCATGCACTACTGCCAGCAGGTGCCACTGTGCTGGCTGACCATGTGCTCTTCCCTGGTGCACCCCGCTTCTTGCAATATGCTAAGAGCTGTGGCCATTACCGCTGCCGCCTCTACCACACTGGCCTTCCAGACTTCCCTGCCATTAAGGATGGCATAGCTCAGCTCACCTATGCTGGACCAGGCTGAGATCCATGCCCAGGGGTACTTACTGATGTCCACTCCCACTCCCATTCCCACCCCCACCCAAGCAAGGACCTCAGAATATCTCCTCCCTTTCCTGTTTGGGCCCTGACACATGCTGAGTTTAGGGCTGGGGAGGCTCTCGTCCCACCTCTGACCCCTTTCAGCCTCTACACTGACCTGAAGTGTCAGCTTCTATCAGATCACTTGGTCTCACTAGGCCCCCTCTTTCCAGAGAGAACCATGGACTGACAGCAAGAAGCCTGAGCTCCCAACCCAGCTCTGTCACTGATTTGCTGAGTGACTCCAAGGGAATCCTTGCCTTGCTCTAAGATTTAATCTTCTCTCTTAGATTTAATACTAAGGAAGCTGGCTGGGAGAGCTCCAGGGGCCTCCCAGCACTTGGCCTCAGAAAGCCTCTCATCCTCAACCCATGCCATGCTGGGTGGGATCAGAGGAAGCGGAAGACAGTGAGTCAGAGGCCCTGCAGGAATAGCTGGATACACACTGGGACAGATGAAATGGTACAGAACCCTGGGCCCAGGGCCAGGAATGCCCTGGCCTTCCCCAACCCAGGCCCACATGGCCAATTAGGTTTGCCTGATACCCCTTGAGTGCCCTTTCCCCAAAGCCCAAGAGAAGATGCTGGACTCCTCTGGGCCCTACCAACAAATAGGGAATAGACATGGGGGGAAAATCACTCCTTTGTCTTTATTAAAGAAACTTAGAAAGAAACCAGACCTGGCAACCAAGGGGTGAGGTACTGGCCAGGAAGGTGAAGTGGGGCTCAGGCCCTGGGGATTTCAAGTGCAGACTGATGGCCTGGGAGGGGCCAAGGACACCAGATCCTGGCAGCAACTGAGGAGGTACCCAAGGGCACTTTCAGGCACTGGGGCCATCAGCTGGTTCTGTGGGCAGGGGTTGGGGGTTGGGATGCAGGGTAGGTTGGGCTGGCCTGGAATCTCCCTGAGGCCACCCTGCCTTGTCTACCTAGATCATCCACTGGTCCTGATCCTGTTCGTTGCCTTCCATGTCCACCTGGAGAGGAGGCTGGGTGTGGGTGCGGAGGGGCCTCAGCCAGCCTCAGCCCCAGATCCTGCCCCTGGCTGGATCCAGGGTTTCTGTACCCCTTGGCCATCAATCGGGTCAGGAGCAGGGGCCCAGGAACAGAGGCCCTCCCCTATACCCCTTGTCTACCTCATTGACCTCTCCATCATCAGGTGACTCATTGTAGTCATTCATCTCGTCCATGTCCTGCATGTCCTCATCATCCTCTGAGTCCTCTTCACTATCCTCATCGTCTTCATCATCTTCTTCTTCCTCGTCATCATAGTGCTGGTGGACAGGAGAAAGCCTGTAAGCCCTACAGGCCTCCGTGAACCAGTTCAAGAATTGACCCACTTGGAGCCTCTCTCTAGGGCCAATGAATGACCCACCCTCCAGCCCTGCCCTCCTTGAGTATAGCAGGCTGGTGCATGTTCTGCAGGACCTTAGTGCTAGGCCCAGTGCCCATCCCTTCTATCTCCCCTTTTTGGCCTTCACCCAGATCTGAGAACCACAACTGCTCTAGGTCAGAGACCGGACATTCAGAATTAGAGCAGACCCTCAGTCTACCCTGGGACCCGCAAAGGCCCCACCTGCTGAAGCCACTCACCTCTGATGCTGGCTTGCCAATAGGAACCAGGTTGTTGTCTTTCTCTGCGATGCTTTGGAGCTGTGGGCAAAGGCATAGAGGAACAAGGCCAAAGCCCAAGTAGGGCAGGTCAGGGGCATGGGACTGGCCCAGTCTACCCAGAAGAAGACCCACATGTGTCGGGGAGAAGCTTCCTCCTAGTTCTCGGGAAGATTCAGTATCTTTCTTGTCATCTGCCATTTATGAACTTGATCCAAATACTTACTATCGGAGCCTTGGTTTTCTCGTATAATTATGTTGAGGATGAAGTGAGAGACTTACCAGCCTAGAAAGTGTCATCTGCTAGATCCTCAATTAATAGTCAAAATTATTTCCTATGCTTTAGGGAAAAGAGCTTGGGCTGAGTGTCAGCACCTTGGGCTCTAATCTGGCCCAGAAGTCCCGTGATCCCCCTGTAAATTAGGGTACTCCAAGATAAAAACCTTGGCTCCCTGGCTCCCATACTGATTATTCCCAACTCAGGGCGAAAGCTCTTCCTGGGCAGATCTCCACAGTAAGGCTCCGTCATGGCCCACTGAAGGGGGTCTCTGTCTGTGCTGTGCTAGTAGTACTCACTCACCCAGGCCTGATGCTGCTGTTCCTGCTGCTGCAGCTCTGTCTCTTCCACACAGGGTCGATCCAGATTAAACCACAGTGTCTCAGTCACACGAGGGAAGAGTGAGGGGAACAATGTGGACATGGCTCCTAGACTGAGGGAAAGGGTCAAGTGAATGTGTTTTGTTTTCTTTTCATTTTTATTTGGTTGTAATTTGATTTAAGGATAGGGTGGAAGATACCAAGGAAGCAGCCCTCCCCACTAGGAATCAGACAGACCTGGGTTTGAGTCCTGGCTCCACCACTTACTAGCTCTTTGACCTTGGCTGAGTCACTTAACCTCTCTGGGCCTCAGTGTCTTCATCTGTAAAATGGGGATAATAACAATTATACCACTCTCAAAGTTACTCTGATAATTAAGTAAATAATGGATAAAGCTGTTTGCAGGCTGTTCAAGGAGGGAGGGGATGGGAGTCAAGTGTAGGAACAGAAATCCAGAATGCAGACTGGCATTATGAAATTATACAAAATTAGAGGTAGCAGGGTTCTACTGAAATTATCCCTACCTCTTCTATACACTAAAATTTTTTTTTTTTTTTTTTTTTTTTTTTGCCCCTTTATGATGATCCATACCACACCTACCCAGTGTCAGAAATTTAGGACACTAACCAACTCTTTAATGAATCACAGCCAAATGTCGGCGTGGGGGGATTGTAAGCATATGCAAGCAGGGTTCAGTAAGATATTCTAGGAGGCATAAATAAGTGGGTAAGTAGATGGAAGACTGAATGGATGAACCAACATATAAGAGTACAATCAGCTTTGATTGAAGGGCTAAAGGAGCCGACTAGGAGTGCCAGATAATTTGGATTAAACTGAGGACAGGCAAACTGAGGCCCAGCGACAGGCAGAGACTGGCTTTAGGTCACACAGTGAGCCGGGGCTTAGAATTCCCCGGTGAAAGGGATCCAGGCCAGCGCTAGAGATAAGCAGGAGAAACGAATCGATGCCTGATCCTGCTTTTGTCCTAATTTTTCTGACCGACCCAGGGCCAGTCGCTGCCCTTCCCTATATCTCAGCTTTCCAACCCTCGTAATAGGCACAAGGGCAAACACCCTCTTGTCCAAGAGGTACTGACAGGCCAGAGTTCTTGGCTCCGAAAGCCCAACCCACCGCCGCAAAGCCACCGCCCATTCTTTGCTTATTACGATAATGACCATGCAGCTGACCAACAGAAAGAAAGTAGGGGCGGGACTCAGACAGAAATTTGGCCTTATAGGGTTGCTAAACGCTAAAAAAGCGGGGCTTGGGTAGGACCAATTAACTGAAAGAAATCCTGGGTGACAGGAAGTGACACCAATGAATGACGGATCTTGTGTGACGGGGTGGGGCTTAGTCTCGAGGAAGCGGCCAATGAGCTGGAGATCTTTACGGGTTAAGGACTCTGAATATGGAGCTCCAGAAGAGTCGGGTCAAAGGAAATGGGTTTCTCTGGGGTAAGAAGGAATGAAGGGGCAAGGAGACTGCCGCAGCCTTCCTTCTGTACTTACCGCGCGGGGAGGCGACCGCCGGCGGCGACCCGGAAGCGCTTCACCCAGCCTGAGCGGAAGAACCCACCAGAATCCGGGACTCACCAAACGCATGCGTCCTTCGTCTCCTTTTGTTTTCCCCGCTCCCGCCCACCAAACCGGATGTGACGTTGACATACCTTAGTCTTACTGTTAGGGAAGCAAGTGTGCCGCTCCTATCTATCTGCCCCGCTTTGAGTCTCAGCCAATCGGTCTCTCCATCCTGGCCCCGCCCCGACAGCTCGAATTAACCCCTGCCCCTTTGCCCCCAGACACCTTTTGCTTGTTAACTCCTTCTGAAGAAGAGCTGACAGCAACTTCTTACTACGAGGGCCGTTTGTCCTACTGCATCCCAGGAAAGCTAATCTGTTTCTACACCAGAATCGCTGGTTGATGTTACGCACCTCCTTGTCTGTGCGCTCTCAGCTTCAGTTTCCCATTTGAGCACATTCGTTCTTTTTTAATTTTTGCTCTGAACGAAAATATTTGAGTTCAACTATTACTATATTCCAGGCTCTCCTAGAAACTGGGGATACATCTATGAATATGGTCGCTGGCCTGGAAGACCTTACAGTCCCGGGAAGCCAAACCCTGCAGACTTGCAGTGGACTCACTGGTCTCTTAAGGTTGTCTGTTGAGTTCTCTCTGATATTGGAGATTATGTACAGACGTGAATGACAGCCTCAGGCACAGCATTCTGCTGCTAGGGGAATCAGCTTCCCTCTGGCCTGGGCCAGGATCCCTTAGAGGTCAGCCTCTTCACCTCTCCCATTCCTTTGCTGACGCCTCTGTTCTAGTAACCTCTGACTCAGCTTCCCCCTCAGAGATACTCATGCTTTCTGGCAACAGAGATCCTTCAAACCCAATTCCTATTAAGCTCCATCACTTATCAGCCTCTTCCAGGGCTAGCAGGCATCCACAGTTCCAGTACTGTCCTGGCCAGATATGTGGGTTTGGGGAAGTCCTTTTCCTCTTTCTGGACTCAGTTTCTTCATGAACCAGCCTCATAATCTCTCTCCAGCCTTCCTTTTATCCTGGACTGATGTGAAGACTGGATGAGAATTGTTCAAGAGGTCGTGTACTGTGCATACTGAATATGATTATATTGCCAAGTAGCACTGCTTCTTATAAAATTTTTCATTAAAGAGTAAACTTTGCCTCTTGGAAATGACTACCTTTTTCATTCATTCAACAAATACCTATTGAGTGCCTTAGTATATGTCTATCACTATTCTTAGTAGCGGGTATACAGTAGTAAACAAAACAGATCAAAAAAAAGTTCCTCTTTTCATGCAGCCTTCATTCTTAGAGATGTAAACAATAAAGAACACAGATAAATAAAATATGTAGTTTTAAGATTTCAGTAAATAGGAGAAAAAATAAATCTGAGAAGTAGAAATAAAATGTTTGCAAGGGAGGTGTTTTATTTTAGATTGGGGGGCCACGGAAGTCACTGGGAAGGTGACTTCTGAGTAAAGGTCTGAAGGAGGAGTCTTCTGATACTTGGGGAAGAGCATTTAAGGGAGAGAGAATGTAAGTGCAGAGGGCCTATAATGGCCTTGAGCATAGTGTCCTCTGGCATCTT